CAATATTATGGGATTTGTTGACAATGGATTGCTTTACTTCTGTATTATTCAATGAAAAACTTTGGAACACTTACGATATGCAAACATTGTTTATGATATGAGCATCAAAATATGTGCAGGAAAGTTCCAAACCTGGGGGATAAAAATGGCTCTGTGAGTGATGCATCCAAGTAAGCAGCGACCCAATTCTTGTTATCAAAATGAACATCCTTGTGCTGACCAACATCTCCTCTTTAACTGAGCATCTCAGTTCATAGCCCCATCACCAGTCACTCATCACTGCATAGCAGCATGGATTGCTGTCTTCCTCTCACCTGCCAGCAGCTGCCAGTCCCTATCCTACCTCGTTTACTCAAACAGAGCCCCGAGTTCATCACTTTCCTTTATCCTGACCATCACTGGATTCATTTCAACACATCTCATCCCTCTTAGAGTCCTTGGCCGTGACCATCTAATTCTAATTCTGCCTGTGTTCCGATGTCCTCAAATCCACTGTGCAGACTCCAGCCCCTTTGATATAATGGCCTGACCGTTTCACTCACTTGATTAAATTGTATGACTCTCAGTTGTCTGTAGGACCAATTTCATTTCTTAGTGTGGCAAAGGCCAACAGGTCAAGCTTCACACTTTTTATGCTAGTTGTCAAATATTCCTTAAGATCCTGGCCTTGGCTCAAGCTGCCCGTCCCCTCCCCATGTCCTTTGCTCTTATCTTTACTTGCCTGACTCCCAAATATTCTTCAGTACTCATTTATCGCTTCCTTGGGCATCCTTCCTTCCCCTCGGCTTAATGAGAGTGCTATCCAATTAATCTCTAGATTGTCTTAGATGTTTCTATCAAATGCTGTGTCTGTGTTTATGTCTTCTGCTGAGGCAGACATGGTGTTGAAGGTATTGCTGGCCCTTATGCAGTGCCCATCACAGAACAGATCATAAAGATTTATTGATTACTTTAGTCTGTTTATTAAACCAAATTCTATTTAAAAAGTCCAAGAAGTGTAAGAAAGGATGATGGAAGACAATGACTAACGCCAGCTGAAAAGATCCCCCAACATTCTCCTTAAAATGTATTAATTGAGCTATAACTTGAAAGATGTCCATACTGAGAAAAGCAGGAGGTTAAGAAGTGAAAGAATTTCTTGTAAGCGGCACTTCAGAGTTGTGATTGCACTCTCTAGAACAAAGGACTCATAAAGAAGTCTCATCATTTGTTAGGAGTAAATCCAAGATTAAGTCCTTGTAAGGCCTTAGACACCAAGATCCCAGATTTGTTCTGAATTTCAGCAGCAATGGGGACGGAGGGAAGAATTTTAAAGCAAAGAGCAGATGTAATTAAATCTCAGCTTTCTCTACTCAGGCTAAGTCGCTTGAGGATTGACAGTTTGCTTTACTGCCTGGTTGCTCTCTAGTATATTGGATTGTCATTTCAAGATTACTTGTATGCAACCAAGAAGTAAGTATTTAACACAACACTCTTCTGAAAATCCTTCTGTGATAAGGAACATGTTCCATATGCATGGTGTTCAGTATAGCAGCCACCAAACACACAAAAATTTTAATACTTTAAGTGGAGACACCAAGGGGATGAAATTTTAATATTGTATAATTTAAGTTTATATTTAAGTTAAAATGATTATGTATGATAAATGGCTATTACTCATTGAATAATGTAGTGTTAGAAAGTTCTCCCAGGCTGAGTCCCTTGTAGGAAACAGGTACACTCAGGTTGGGGCAAATCAAAGAGGGTTAATTCATGTGCTTGTTTCCAAAGGTGTAGACAACTGTACCAGAATCATACGATAATTAGCTATAGTTAGTGAAATAGAGCATTGATGGAAAGGTTCTTGGTTAAGACTATATACAGGCACAAGCTTGGATGACATTGAGACTATATAAGGCACAAAGTGATTCTAACGATGTTTTACTGAATAAAATCATGTTCAAGACTGTCTTCTTCAACAAAGCCTTTCCTTATGGCAAGTTCATTGAACGATGAGAATGAGTGTGGTTTTTCTCTATACAGTGCTGATCCTTACCATATTTCCCAGTGTCTCTCTCCCTGATGCTCTCTGAAAGTCATTCCTTTTCCATTAGCAGGGCTGTGCTGACTTAATGATGGATCCTGTCAAGGGTTCTCTAAAGGGGCTTCTTTTCTTCTGAGCACTTAGTGATAGGCAGGCCCTGACTGTTATCTATGGTTGTGTTTTAATATCCTGCCCTATCCATCTCTCATCTCAGAACACAGGACTTGCCTTTAGCCCTAGCTCATTGCTTGATGATTTGTTAAGGCTTTGAAAACAGAAGGAATGAGGTGCTTTTAAGCAGGACAGGGCTATTGCTCCTTGCTTTATTTATTTTTATGCCATGCAAAAGGAATAAAGAGGTATAAAATGGCTCAACTGAAGCCAAATAAATCTGGATAAATAGAGCAAGAACCCAATAAAAACCTGGGGGTGAGAAAGAAGAAAGGTATTGGGGATGGGAGATAAAAGGAGGGAATAAAAAAGAAAATTTAATAATTCCTGTAGCATTGGGGTCTATTTATTACTACCCAGGGAACAAAGTGCCTTTGACCCAATGAAATATTTTAAACTAGGGTTAAGCTCTGGGTGGAAATTAGGAAATTATCTTTAAAGTCCTTATTGAATCTTCTCATGCTGTCACCTCCCGTCACCCTTTATTAAAGCTTTGTGTGTGTCTGCTGCTAGGTCTAGGCAGGCTGACATCTTTTACTTGTTCTGATGAATCACAGCACAGAAGCTGGTGAGGTTTTTTTTTTTTTTTTTTTTTTTTTTACAGCCAACACAACAGGAATCTCTCATATAATTCCTTATGCCAGGGCAGGGGGTGAGAGGGCGTGGGGATCTCTGTCCTAACTCCTGCCCATGTGGGGTGATCGCTACCTTCATGAAATGGAAAAAGACATAACCAAGAGCTAATAATGCACAAGGCTAGAGAATAGAGGCTAGGCTCTTTAGGTAAAATTAGAAACTGCATTTAAGCCCATTGTAGATCTGTGTATACCATTGCTTTTTGTAGCCCTGACTTAATGATTCATAATTTTCTGTTGCTAATATAAAGACTGCTTAAGTAGAGCTGTTAAAGTAATCACAAGTTTCATTTGAATACATTCTTCATCATCACTTTGGTATTGAGACCTTTTTTTTCCCCTCCGTTAAATGAACCAACACAAATATATCCCACTATGCTTTCCTTCATTCCCCTCTTCTTTTACTATGGACAGTTTCTATCATGTGCACATTTTATATATTTTAAAATTAATTAAAATCTCTTATTTTTATTTGTGTGTGCACATGTGTGTTTATGATGATGCACACGTGTGTACATGCAAAGGCCAGCAGATGATCTCTGCTGTTGTTCCTTAGGCATTGTCCGTGTCTATTAGTACAATCTAGCAGATATATGACCATGGATACCAAGCATCTTGCAGAGTATTGCATGCTTTCAAGTGATGGCTATTTTTGGCCATCTATGTGTTGTAGTTTAGTGGGTACCAGCAATTGCTAAAGAGTAATTTGGTTGTGTCTTCTGGCTGATTGGTAAACTCCAAGTTTATCACTACCTCTGTGGCTTGTTATGGAACCCTAATTAAACCATGTTGCACTTTGAATGAAGTTGTTAATTTATGTACTCATCAAACCGGTTCAATAACTCCCTTACAAGTAATTAGTGTAAGGGTGCTGTGAAGGCATAGAGATGAAATGAGCCTGTTGGAAAACACCAATGTAACAAGGAGAGGTAAGAGTTCACTGTGATCATGGGAATTGTTTCAAGAGGAGCTATACATTGAGGGAATTCTTTTGGAAACCACTGAGGAACAGCAAGGATTTTAACAGGTGCCTATGTGTAAGAACTGGGGAAAGGGATAGAAAGCCTTACGACTGCGGCACTTCAGAGAGTAGTATTTGAGAAGATGGCAGGGCACCAGGAGAATCAGGTACATCTGTTCTGTACAATAGATAATCTTGATTTTGTTGTTGTTAAGACATTGTTCTATTGGATGGCATCGGTTTTTCTGTGAGTTTGGTCTAGGGAGAGAGTGTTTGATGTGCTGCCTCGTCCGTGCTGCGCTTCATGTCTCTTTCCATGGGGTCCATTCTAGCAGTTCAATGACCAGCTGCTGATTTTCAAAGTCTCCTTTCAGAGCCCTATGCAGTTTATTAATTTAAGAGCAGCAGCAATTTTGTTAGAGGTAAAACACATAATGATTTTTTTTTCCAATCTCTTTTTCTGGGAGGTATCACTGAGAAAGTATGATTAGATTCAACCCAGTTGTCTCCCACAACAATAATATGTAGCAAATGTCAACCAAGGTGACTCTGCATGTGTGAAAAAGTCCAAGCTCTTAGGTTAAAGGATGTAACAGAGAGAACTGTGCTGCTTACAGAATGAAAACGTGTTGCACAAATTATCTTAAGGAGCCAAAAGCAGCATCCAGTTCGCACTTAAAACAATTTGTTCTTGGAATATTGTCAGCTAAAATTGTGGTCAACTTTTCAAATTGTATGAATTTGCACTGCATATTTTATTTAGTGTTTAGCAAAACTCCAATATGGCTCTGCATAACTTACACAATACACCAAGAAAATGACTTCAGAAACTCCCACGGAAGTTGACAAATTGGGCATCTAATGCTTTTAAGCTAATTGCATGCTTAACGGTTAAGGAGTTGACTTGTTAAGAATGAAGATCAGAGTTTGGTGGAGACAATGCTCTGCCTGCTGCCACATTGAATACGATCAAACCCCTGTATCAGAAATATTACAGACGCTCAAAGAAGAAAATAATGTGCGCTTTAATCGCTGTGCTACTTAGTGTTTCAGTGAAGTGCTCATGAATCATATGCACTGTCATAGCAGTTTTGAAAACTATTCTTGAATTTTTCAAGCTGTTATTTTCAGGAAATTTCGAAAGCAAATTGCTAAGTGATAAAGAGTAATTTGGTAGCATTGCTTATGTCAGTGTTGTGCTTCCTTGCAGACTGGAAAAGCAGAGAAGAGTAATACCCTGAATGCCGCCATAGACAACATGAGCAAGAAGACGAGAGACCTCCGCAGACAGGTGAGAGGAAAGGGAGGCACTGGGCAGAAATAAGAAGCAAAAGAAGCGTCATTCATTGCTGTCCTGTGTGTTGTTTTTGGCCTTTTAAAATTATAGAAGAGGAAACCCAAAAGCAAAGCTTATCCTCTCCACATTTACGTGCCTCAATGTTCTGCAGCAAATAGATAGAAGAAAAAGTATGCGCCGTAATGTCATGTAGAATTACAATTGAATCTTGGCTCTGTCCTCATCTGACAGGAGTTCTCGGGCATAGAGTCCATCTCTCATGGCCATCTCTGAATCTGTGAAATGCAATTAACAATGTGAAATGGGGCTTTGGATATTAAGTGCATACATATTGCTGCACTGGAGAGATGGCTTGCCTGCAGAAGATTGCATTGTCAGGAAGCCTATAGGTCCTTTTCTTAATGATCAGTGAGGGAGAGTCCAGTCTATTGTGGGTGGTGCCACCCTTGGGCCGGTGGTCATGGGTTCACTAAGAATATAGGTTGAGCAAGCTGGTAAGCAGCATCCCTCCACAGCTCTGCATCAGCTCCTGCCTCCAGGTTCCTGCCCTGTTCGAGTCCCTGTCCTGATGTCCTTCAACAATCAACAGTGATGAGGAGGTGTAAACCTGACAAACCCTGCCCTCTTCCACTTGTGTTGGTCATAACTTCCTGTAACAGCAACAGTGAACTGAGACAAGTACACCCCGAATTTCTTGTCCTAATGCAGAGAGCATCTAGTAGTTTCAGGTTTTTTTTTCTCTTCATGATTTGTGGGTGCTTCAGAAGATAGTTTCTCTTGAGGTACTCTATTGGTCATAGACACCAGCATCAGAGGATCAGAAAGGATTTTACTAAGCAGTTGAGAAGTCCAGTGTTAGGACACAAATTAATTCCCCTCCCCGCTTAGAAACTTAGCCAATTTCCAAGGCCTTTGCTTCCTACTTCTTTTCACTGTTAATTACCATTTTTCTCTTATGGACAGCTATAACATGGTCACCATTAACTCATAAAAGCAGGGGGAAAGGCTTTTAACCAGAAGCTTTTAATGCTATACATTATCTCAGTTAAAGGGAAAGAGTTAGAGAAATGGCTGGGAAGAATTAGAGAAATGTGGGCCATATTTTAATTCAAAAGTCGATCCATATACAGAATAATAAGGATCCCCAGATAGTGAGGTTGTGTCACAGCAGAATTTTCAATTCTGTGAAAATCATGTTTTCTCAGCGTTAGGGCCTTGATGTGAATTCTCTTTCTGCTGTCAGCTGTTAGAATTATGGGATGTAAAAGTCAAAAGAGTATACCAGCACAGCCCCTTTGGGACACTGATGAGAAAGCCAGACAGTGCGGTCAGGGACTAAGGAGCAAGGAGCATTGAGTCAAGACCTAGACAAGGACCCAGGAATGTGGACCCTCAGAGTTGGCCTTCTTCATTCTTGTATGATTTTTATTTTCTGTCTTCTCTAGGATTTTTTTCCCACCCCTGTATTGATACAGAGTCTGCTGTATTCCATGCTGGCCTCAAACGTCTGACGTCCCAAGTGTCGAGGGCTGGGGTCACAGGGATACACCACCATGCTAGGTTATTTTTTTCTGAGGTATTAGGTATGAAGCTAGATCTTTCTGCATGCTTAGCAAACACTTACCAGCTCAGCTACATGCTCCCCCTCCCAGCTCTGCTTCAGAACTCCTACCCCTCCTGCTCTTCTCAGGGTTTAGAAGAACTATTTCTATGACTGTCAACCACAGTATTTCTTGTCCCTGTCTCTTCCATCTACTTTGCCACCAGCAAATCCACGCATAAAATGCTAATCTACATTCATACCTCCCCAGCCTTAACAGTTATTATTTTTCTCAAGGACTTCAGAAAAAAGCAATTTCTTACACATTGAATTAGAAGATATAGCAAATCAAACTTAACATGCCCAGTTAAGTTTGAATTTTAGGTTAGCAACAAATATGTCTTAACATAATTATGTTCCAAATGTGGCATGGGACATACTTTCATTTTTTTAAAAAGTGTTTAAAAATTGAAGTGTTTATTTCAAATTAAAATATTCCCAGGTGTCCTATATTTTATCTTGCAATCAGGCATGATTTGTCTTCTCACTGTCATTGGTGAGATCCAGACTGCCACATCAGGGCAGCTAATACTTCCTCCTAGTCATTTCAGTTTGTAGAGAACAGCTGTGCTCTGGAGCATGGCTTTGGTTTCTTCTTTCTCGAACCACCATAAATAGGAGCCATTGTGATCCCAAGGAGCCACCACTGGGGACCATCAGGGCTCTTTCCACATGGTCTTTACTTGTGATAGCGGCAGCAAACCAACAACCATGTCAAGGCTCAGGGTGAATGTTGAGATCCAAAGTTGAAGAGCAGAATTTCTTCTGCATTGTACAGGTTCAACACAGCCATAAAATTCACTATAAATGAAGGACCAAGCAGGAGCTCTTTTTCATTTGGAGAAACAGCACGTGTGTGTGTGTGTGTGTGTGTGTGTGTGTGTGTGTGTGTGTGTGTGTGTGTGTGTGTGAAGACATGAAATGAAGTGGACTCTTTGGAGACACCGTGATCTTCAGGGCTACTCTCAGTTGCTCCGATTCTCATTATCCAACTACTCTTTCCCCACACCCAAGATGACTTCATTTCCCACTGTGAGGTCTATATTTTGGGTATATAGTTTGTGTATATACTGGAGGTCTGGGAATGTAACTGTTCATTGAGTGCTTTCTTGGCATGCTTGTAGCTCTGGTATCAATTCCTCATAAACTGGACATGGTGGTACTTATCTGTCAAATCAACACTCAGGATAAAGAGGCAAAATGATCAGACACACAAGATTATCCTCTGCTATAAACAAGTTTAAAACCAGCCTGGAATACATGACACTGTGTCTCAGAAAAAAAAAAGTCGAAACAGTGAAATGAGTAATCTCTACGTCTTTTTATGCTTTCAACATTGAAGAGTTTATTCTAAGCACCTTACATATGCTCTTTTCTCACAAAAGCAAAGCCCTGCTCTTAAACTGCCTTAGAAATATTTAATGATCACCTCTTGTTCTAGAACTGGTTTTATTTTTAGTAAAACGTCCTAAGAACCTCTCTTTTTGCTCATCCATCCTTATCCATTTCATAACTGTTACTTTTTCATCAGTAACAGAAATGCCTTAGCTTTAGATCAGAGAATGATTGAGTCTGTAAGAGGAGCCATATATTTCTTAGGAATGTCTAAAGAGTAGCCATTTGACATTGTGGAGCATGAAGATGGAATGTTCTAGCATATGACATAGTCAGATTTTTGTTTCACCTTTCTTTCTCTGTGGCTTTCTCACCTGTTTTATTATGGATTGAGTCAAAGATCTTGGCATGGAGTTCTCCGTTCTCTGTGACTTGACCACAACATTTTTGTTCTTTAGGGTTTTTTTTTAAATCTCTTTAGTTCCTCCTCACCAGAGATACACACCCACCCACCTCTGATAAAAGGATCTACTAACTTCTCAGCAAATGTCCATCTCCTCCTTCAGCACACAATTGCAAGCTCATCGTGTTCAGTGTACTGATAGAAGGCTCATGGCATCCTGCACTCTGCCCCTTCTCTGCTTCCTGACCTTCTCTTTCTTATCTTAAGTTACCTGAGTTCCAAAATCATACAGAAACTACTCCTTCCAGCAAACCTGAGCTCTTTTCTCCAGCAGGAATTCCTATTATTTTCTGAGAGCACTTAAAAACATAAGGACTCTACCTATGAGTCCAACCGGTGAGAGAGAGGAGGGGTTATATGAGCAAGAGATATTGAGACCATGATTGGAAAAAGCACAGGGACAAATAGCCAAACTAGTGGAAACACATGAACTGTGAACCAATAGCTGAGGAGCACCCATGGAACTGGACCAGGCCCTCTGGTTAAGTGAGACAGTTGATGAGCTTGAACTGTTTAGGAGACCCCCAGGAAGGGGGACCGGGACCTGTCCTTGGTGCATGAGCTGGCTTTTTGGAACCTAGGGCCTATGCTAAGACACTTTGCTCAGCCTTGATGCAGGGAGGAGGGGAATGAACCTGCCTCAACTGAATCTACCAGGCTGGGCTGAATCCCCAGGGGAGACCTTGCCTTGGAGGAGGTGGGAATGGGGGGGTGGATTGTGGGGGAAGACTGGGGGGTGGGAGGAGGGAGGACAGGGGAATCCGTGGCTGATATGTAAAATTAAATTAATTATAAAATAAAAATATTTAAAAAAACACGAGGACTTCTTTCACAATAACCATGCCCTCTTTTCCTGTATTTTGTTCTTTCTCTTGGGGAGGATTTTCTTCCCAATGGATTGTAAATGTTTCTAATGATAATTATGATCAGATCTCTCATTTGCTGAATATTTGCAGAACTTTCTAATAAGTGTATTCTTTGAGTTATTGACTTCATCCTTGAAAAAAGGAATAATGCTATAGTGTTATATCAATTCTCAAGTGTATCCATTTGCTAAACTTGGTAGCAGGCATGGTTCCATCCTAGGTACAATTTAACTAAAGCCCATGTGAGTAATCACCACACCAGGGGACAAGGAAAATGACTTGTTGATTTTCAAAAACCCTAGAACCATATGCACTGATTTTACTGTCATCCATTTTTTTTCCTCATTATTTCTTTTACACAATTTTCAAAACTTTACTTTTCTTTATCCTTTCACCTGGCCTCCTACTATTTACTTGAGAATTAATTACTTATCTATTGGAATACCCAATAAATGAAGAACGTTTTTAAATACTTGTTACTTCATTAAAAATCAAAACATCCAAATATATTCAACTTCTGCTGTCTTGTGAAGAATGAGACATACTTAATTTTACTAAAGGCGGGATAAAAGTCTCCCTTCTTTATATTACTAAGAGAAGACATTACGGTTGATAGATGCTAAAGTAATGATATACTATAGCAATTAAAATAGAATTCTGACAACAGCAAACAAAAGAAGCACATGCCCCCGATTGATTATTTCGTTGTTTGATAGCCTGGCTAGAGGCATCTTTGCTTCTCACATTGGCAGCTCAAACACAACACTTGGAAAGCTATTATCGGCTCTTGTACCAATCATCATCCACATATTAAGTTCTCATGAGACCACATCCCACAAACTTGGCACAGTGACTAGACACTGAATTGTTACTTGATTTAGTTCTTATTGATCAGCTGAGTTGTGCAAAGCATATTTTTCTCACTTACTTAAGATTAAAATGGCATCTGTATACACAAATAGAGTTTTTCTGATTTTTGAAAGGAGGAATATTTTTTCTGAAATACTTTCTTTGCCTTGTATGCTTCTTCCCCTCACAATTTATTCTTTTCCTTCATTTGATAAATCTGGTAGGCTTCCTTACAGTTTCCACATGGGGCTTTCACTTTTGTGTTTCAATTGTAGAGAAATATATTATTTTATTTGAGATACTAAACCACTTGTATCAGCAGGAAATAAAAAAAAATGATGCCTCAAAGCCTTTTATTAAGCTATAGTGAGAAAAGATAGAAAGCCCCTCAGATAGGCTCTGCTCCGACATCATTCATGCTTGACCACAGCAAGTATTTATTGAAAATTCATACCCCACAACTCCTATTGGCTTCCCACTAACTTCAAATTTTATCACTATGGCTTCACATGTTAGAGTCTTGTTTAGAATGTTTTTTTATGTCATCTAAGTGAAAGAAATATAGTAAGCCCCTGGACAGGAAGACAGCATGAAATAAAAAAGCTACAGTCTACGTAATTAATACATGTATAGACAAGGTATAAAGAGAATGTCTCATAGGAATTTGTCAAGACAAATGAAGAAGATTGCTTAACAGAACATCCTAGACTTTCTGTATTTTGTCCCTAGCCACCTGGCTAGTTTTATCCCACAATAATCCCATTTTCATGGTCAGCAAAATGTAGGGCCTGACAGAGTTACATTCAGTGATGTGCAAAGCAGAAGTGACAGAGTATGATCTGCAAAGATTAGCATATGAAGACATGGAACCTATCAGAGGGGAATGACCAGGCATTGCCAACAGAGGAAGGTACCTGTTTTTAATTGGATCTAGTTCACGAGACCAGACACTTAGTACTAGACTTCAGTGCAGGGAGTTTTTGGGAGGTGGTTCCAATATATGTATATATTGTAAATACCAAGCGAGGCGGAAAGGAGAGGGTATGCACAGGAGGCTGCAGCTATAGGCAACAGGGACTTGAGGACTTCTGTGAATTAGAATTTCTCTTCAGGTTGTCTGGCCAATGGTGGAAGCCAAATCTAGCAGCTCTTGCCACTGTTTATGGTTGTTCCTGGGGATGTGAGCTCTCGAGATCTTGCAAGCTGCAGCTGTGCATTACCTGAGTACCTCACAGAGACTTAGAGTGAGCGCTGAGTCCGAATAACAGGAAGATGCATAGGATGTCTTCAGAGGACCTAGTATCGAGGCCCACCATGGCAAGAGCTGAGATTGAAGACTAATCTAGAAGATATGCAGTGCAATACTGAAGGCCTCTGAGGTCAGTTTTCACCTTGGTCCTGAGCATCCGGATAAAGGGTTTGCATTGGACGAGCCAGGCAGAGAGTTTGGAGAGAACTCTGGGATGTTTAGTTCCGCAGTTTGTTATTTGCCTGGGTTAAAGTGCTTTCTGGAAGAAAATATGGCCAGCTCTTAAAGGCTTCAGGCCACATGTCACAAATTTCTGACAAATTCCTTCTGTCATGAGATTAAAAAAGAATAAATGTCTTACGATGTGAGACAACAGTCTCTGACTCTAGATTTTATGAAAAAAATTATATCATTTGAAAAACCCTAGGAAGGCAGTGTGACATTTTAGGTTTGGTTGTGGACAGGGACTATATCATTTCCATTTATGAAAAGTAGCCTATTTTTAATCATGCATTTCAAGGTAGCTAATATTAAATTTTGCTTCTTCATCTTACAGTCAAATAACTAAAAATCAGATTTCATACCCTGCATCTCTGTTCTCTTGTACCCTAATCACTCTTGAAGAAATAGCGGTAGGATTTCTATAACCAATTTTATATAAAGCTTGCAGTTGTTGTGTTCACCCATAACCTTCTTAGAGATCAAACTCTATAAACAAATCTCTGTTTTATAAGTTCAGTTCTTTCAAAGTTTATATATATATATATATGCATATGTATGTATGTGTGTACTACATACATATACATACATGTATATATGTCTACACACACACACACACATAAGATTTCAGTCTCCTGGTTTTCCTTTGTTGCAGTGTTTAATGCCTCACATTCCTGTGCTAGATTATATGTGTTTATGCATTTTCCTCTTCACCTTTCTCAGAATACCTAGCTCTTGAGATGCTGTTCAGAAACACTTGTTTCATTGGATAGAGTCAGGTATCTAAAAGAGTCCACAGTGATGGTGAAGATAACTGTTGGGTAAGATGTACATATTTGGAGAGTCACCACATTGAGATTTATTTGAAGTTTGTCCTTCAGTTCTTGTAATTTGTACTCTTTATTTTTGGCCATCCTCTCAGCCTCCTTAAGTCCTGCTCTTCCATGGACCTGTCTACAATGCTGATGTTCCCAATTGTGCTCTTGAATGTCTCCTCACTGTGTGCCTGTCATTAAGGTTCTGTCTGTATTATTTGCTTGAGCAAACTCCAATATTCTGACCTCCATAGATGAACTCTGGTGAAGAGGTATCTCTCACAGCCAAGTTACAAGTTCCAGAAAAGAATGGGGTGGGGGGCTGTCATTACAAACCCTTCCCTGTTCTTGAGACCCTCAATACATCTCCCCTCTGTTTCTAAAATGGACACAGCATGTGCTTCCCAACTGTAACTCTAGCCTGTGCTCCTGACTTCTCTGATCCATTCCTCATGAACTAAAAACACACTGCTCACTCATTTAGGGTCATCACCTTGCCTTGTGATCTCTCACCTTCTACACCTTGTCATAGATGCCCAGTAAATATTTATTTGTTGCCATAGTGGTTTAACCTACTTCATAGTGAGCAGAAAGTTTCACTGAGGACCTTCCTGCAGTCTATGATGTAATTGGGAGCTAGAAAACTTCATAATGCTTCTCAGCTAGCTCTACCAATATGAGTGGAGGTGTTTTTGTACAAGAAGCTGATTGTCCCTACATATTTATCATTGGTAATTATTATAGAAAGACAGCATTTTTTTTTGAAGTGCTGGGAATTGAACCTATGGCTTCACACACGGAAGGCAAGTGCTCTGCCACTGAGCTATATTCCCAGCAAGATAGTGCTTTGTACAAATGAAGCTCTATTATTCTGGACCTGGAAACTATACCAATAGAAATTCTTACACTATTTAAAACTAAGCAGTCAACTGGTTTTAAAAATACCCTAACATATAACCCTCACAGATGTCAAATTACAAGGTTTTTTTTAATCTGATCCTTATCCTTTTATTTATAGAGAAGTCACTAAACTAAATGAGCAGGTTGATCTAAAAGCTTTAAGGCTCTTTCATAACCGTTGATGTTTCTTAGAGTACAATATCAGAATATTGTAATCCCTGTAGTCTCAGTATTAGAAATACAATAAATTAATTTTCAATGCCATTTTTAAATATCAGAAAATTTCTGCTGAGTACAGCGATTATCTGAAGTCATTTATATGCTTCCATGTAATTTAATTTAAAAGAACTAATTGTGGCAGAATGTTACAGTTGTTTAATAATTTAAGGTGTGAGGGCAAGAACAATTAATGCAAATGGAGAAAATTGGACATCAAACTCATTTATTCTTGTTGCTCTATTAATCTGTTATCATCTGGTGCAGCTTGTGATCTCGCTTGGTTTAATTACCATGAAGTCTACAATTTAGATAATCAAAATGTATCATCAGTTTTTCCAATAAGGTAGAACGTATTTTATAATTTTGTAATTATTAAAATACAATATGTGCATTTTATTTGTACACATGCTGGACTTTCTAATCATGTAATTTCCTTGAGGGAAAAATATTGAATTACCACTTATAATTTGAATTATGTGCTAAATATAGTATGATTAAAAACAAGAGTGGATTTTGGGAGCAAGGGATTTACAGCTGCCTCATTTTTTATCCCTGAATATGTGGCTTGTTTTGCTTGTAAAGGGTGTTTACACACGGTGCCACATATTATGATTGTCAGGACTGCTTAAGAAATGTGTAAAATGAACTTTTAGAACCACTGCGATCCTGACCAGAAAATAACATGAACTTTTTCTTGTCAATAAAAGGCCTTTTTTTTTTTTCCTTCTTCTCAGCTCCGCAAAGCTATTATAGATCATGTATCAGACTCTTTCTTGGACACAACAGTTCCACTCCTGGTTCTCATTGAAGCTGCTAAGAATGGCCGAGACAAGGAAATCAAAGAATATGCTGCGATATTTCATGAGCACACAGGCAGACTTGTGGAGGTAAGTGTGCTGTAGCTGCAGCTACTTCAAATCCAGGAAAACAAGGTTCCCTTCTCCATTTACAGTTGATTTCTACTCATATAAAAGCAATTGGCAGCATATTACAAATGCTACAGAGTTGGGCCTAGGTAATATGGAGGTATATGAGTCAAATGGTATAAGCCACCCTTCAGTGGCTTGAAAAGAAGCAATTTATTTATAAGGATCTGTGAAATTGTGCTCACTGTTGTTTCAAATTTTAAATATCCATTTCCTTGGTGCTATATAAAAGAACAAGCTAAATACATAGTTCTGTCCTGGTAAATATTTTCTTACCATTCTGGCTTTAATTTATCAAATACTCCATGCCATGTGTTTTATTACCTGTGTTTCATGGGTGTTTCCCTCCTGCTTTGTAGAACATACAATGTGACACTACATAAAAAACAAGACAGTAGAATGTGCAGATTTTGAGAGTCTCATGAAAAATTAAGTAGGAATAGTGGTGTAGGGGAAGGGGGCATGATAAACCATAATTCCCTCTGCTTAGCAGCTGCAGATGTGACACATGATCCCATGGTTTTCAGAGCAGGATGGCAGATTGCTAATAGAATTATGAAGGGTTGTAGATAAGAGATTCTCAGAAGTCAATGAGTTGAACCTGTCACATCATGGGTATCAAAACACAGCTCAGTAGAGAGCCTGAATGGAAGAATTTCTTAAGGCAACAATACTCACAAGGTCAGGAACCAGAGACTAGAAGGGGGATATATGTTTTACCAGGTTCATAAGCCAGCGCTCTTTCTTGGCTACCACTTAGCAGTGTGTCTATACCAGTTTTTGTCTTTGGAAACAGAGTCTCCCTATGTCACCTTGACTAGTTTAGAATGTTTTATGTAGACCAGGCTGCCCCTACATTCACATTCACATGATCCACCCGCCACTGTCTCCCAGGTGTTGAGATTAGAATGGTATGCTAACATGCTCAGCCATTTGTCTCAGTTACAGTGGCTAGTATTTATTTATTAGGATCTTCTGTGCCCATTTCCTACTGGTGATTAAACATTTCACTGCCACCTCTTCCTACATAGTCACGAGCTCTGAAGTGAAATGTGGTTATTTTGCCTAAATTGCTCATAAAAAATATGTGAGAAAAATAATCGTAACTCAAATTAGAATCATAGTAACACAGTTTTTTTAAACACGTTTAATGTAAATATATGGGACAAATTCCAATGTAGCTAGCATTTTTACTGTAAACTCTCCTGCTTGACTCTAGTCCCTATAGCTAGAAAATGAAAAATAAATGGACGAATACTTGATTGCTCAGATCGTGCCATTCCCCAAGCTGCCCACCTCTGGCTTAGACGTTGCTTTTGAATTTTTCAGGAACTCCATGAGACAGTGCAAGTGTTATTATTCCAATGCGCATTTTATGGAAATAAAGTTGTAAAACCGAAACCAGTCTAGTTAGTGTCAGTGCTGAATTCAGGTCTATGATTTTTAATGAACAGATTCCGTGATCTACTGTTGATACAGTTTTGTTTCATCTTTCACATGTTCCTTCCTCAAGTATTTATTAGTGATTCTCAAGGAGAGCAGGGACAGGTTTTTACAAAGAGATGCATAATTGAGCATAGCCCTTGACAGTTGTAAAACATCTGTCTAAAAATGAGTTTCTATGCTGAAGCCACACCAAATAATGGGGGGAGGGCAGAAATATTTGTGTGGTATACTTTGAAAGTAAAGTTTGGTTTTTGTAGATAGCATATTTTTATTCCAGTTTCTCAGTTTAATCTGTCTATGAAAACCTTGTTTTTATGCTGCCTACCAGAAAATAATACATTGATGAAACTGTAAAGAGGCAGAGGGTGAGGCCAGAGACACAGCTTGTGCTGTAGCCCTGAGAATTCTTTCAGAGACCTCTACTCAGGGGAAGCCTAGATACATGACTTCACTGTTGGAAAGAATGATTGGACCAGTCATTATGAGCATAGTTGGAGTTTATTAGGAAGTGCTCTTAAAATAGATTTAACCTTCAAAGTTAATAGAGTTGTTTAAAAGGATAGTAAGCATCCCCATGTGGGTGTTGGCAACTCAAAAGAGAATTCCTCTTAAATGTTTTTACAATAGTCACGTGTATTATTTTGGAGTCACATCTCAAAGAGTGAGTAAGGGACTCAAAGATCATTGAGTGGTTCCTGAGGCGCCATGTTTAGGATTGGTTGTACAAGACAGTTCAGAAATGCTTTGACCATAAATGGAGCTGATATTCCTGTCTGTGAGATTTCCCAGTAAGATTGTAAAGTAGTATTGGCCATATTCAAAAGGCATGAATATGAATTAACTCAGGGCTTAAGTGTGGTTAATAGATAGTTTTATATTCTTGCTTGAAAAATCTCCATATAAAAGGAAGGTTGTCTCTGTGGGCAGCCTCCAGAGCAAGAGTTAATTGTGCTAGAATCCTTAACTGTCAGCCAGGGCTAGACTTCATCAGGACTGCAGAATGATGGTTCCTGTTCCTTCCTACATCCTTTAATATCCCCTGTCTTTCTAGTCATTTCCCCAAACAACTTTATTAAAAGTTCTATGGACTGCCGGGCGGTGGTGGCGCACGCCTTTAATCCCAGCACTCGGGAGGCAGAGCCAGGCGGATCTCTGTGAGTTCGAGGCCAGCCTGGTCTCCAAAGCGAGTTCCAGGAAAGACGCAAAGCTACACGGAGAAACCCTGTCTCGAAAAACCAAAAAAAAAAAAAAAAAAAAAAAAAAAAAAGTTCTATGGACAACTTCTCTTGGAGATTTTTAACATTTCTGAATACTCTACCCATTTAAAAGTTATTTTTACTTTACTTTAACCTAGAGTTTCTTCAAGTAAGTTTTCCTAATGCTTCCTTTCATGTGGTTTTGCTAAAGTGCTGCCTTCAAGAACACCTATGAATATTGCCTTAATATTTTAACCAAATGATCGTCCACTATCATGCAGATAGAGTTCTAAGAATTTGTTTTAAATGTTCAAGGATTTTGAGAATTCCCTATTCCATGTGAGCATTAAAGAGTAAATGCTTTTGGAATTATGAGCTATTGGGAGACTGAGAATGGGTTTTATTTAAATCTGAATATCCCCTTAACACAGAATAAAGTGATTATGGAGAGCTGTAGTAGTATCTGTATTTCCATACCATTCTGATGTTATGGGGACATTCTGGTCTAAGTCACTTTCAGTTTCAACGAGTTTTTACTATGCAGAGTAATTCCTAAACTGACTAGCTTAAAGCAACTATTTGTTACAATCGCTCATTCATCTTTAATTAGCACAAAGGTAAGCAGTTCTCGTTTAGGATTTCTCAGTAATTTGTCATTCTCATATGTTAGCTGGATAGAGTCTACCAACTATTTGTCCCAGTTGGACCCACAAGATGGCCCGTGCCCATGCATGCTAGTTACCAACTGAGAGGTCTGCATGGTTGAATAGAGATCAAATATGGCTTTTCCATGTGACTTGAACTTCTTGCAGAATAGGTATCAAGTTCTAAGAGGGTCAAAACAGTAGCAGCAATGGTGAATGAAACACATCACTGGGCATATAGCCTGAGGAAGTCTTTCCAGTGATTTTTATCCAGGTGAGGTTGGGGGTCTTGGTTAATACCATAGAAAAGAACTTACGGTGAGTCAGTAGGAAGCCAAGGTGGGGTTGGTTAAGAAGAAAAAACAGAGTGGTACATCACACATTGGAGAGGTGAACTTTCTCTCTTCTTAGGATAGAGAGCTGCATGAAAGTGTCTTTAAAAGCCCAAGAGATAGTCTCTGTGACTCTTGAAGCTACATTGTTGAAAGGGTGCAATCTATAGCTAAGTTTAAAAGAGTAATTAAAATATTTGGGTATTTTATTTTTTATTACAGCTATTTGTGTTGGGTGGGTATGTGTAGAGACATGCTCATGCATGTATAGGTTAGAGAACACCTTGTCAAAGTCGGTTCTCTTCTTCTACCATTTGTGTCCCAGAGCTAGAACTCAGGCCTTCAGACTTGGCAGCAAACAACTTTACTCTTGAGCTATTTTACCAGCTCAGGTATACTTCATGTTGTTTTGTCTTGCTTTGTTGAAGCAATGTCTTACATATAGCTCTTGCTGTCCCGGAATTCCCTTTGTAGACCAGGCTGGCCTTGAATTCATAGAGATCCATCTGCCTCTGTCTGTCTCCTGCCTGCAGGGGTTAAAAGTCACGCACAACAAATGCCCAGCTCAACTTATTTTTACCTATTGAGTTGTCCTTTAGTAAAGGTAAAACGGTTTATGAAGCACATTGTACAGATTTACATATGATAACATGGTACTGAGAAAACATAGATCAGCAGAGGTACACACCAGGCGAGGATTATAGTATCTCCACCTCCCATCTTGTCATAGGAGTGCTGAGGTTACATTCTGGCTTTGTGTGGGTTCTGGGCTTCTGAACTTAGCTCTCCATTCTACCTTAGTAAGAGTTTCACGCACAGAGCCATCTCCCTAGCCAGCACATATATTTTTTTTATCATGAATATGGCTCACGATTTGAATTTTGAGATTTTTCTCAGAAAGCGGAATATAGACATTTTAGGTGATGAAGTCAGCTGTGTTGAAATCCTTAACTTTCAGCCATAAGAGACCTCAACCAGACTGAGGGAGTGATAGTCTCTTTTCTTCTCTCATGGGCCCTTCATTTTCCCCATTGTTCCTATCCTGCCTCAACAAAGGCAAGCAAGGAACAGGAAATGGGAATAGCCTTTCTCTTAATGCTCAGACCCAGAAATTGCCTGAGCATCTCTACTGTGTTCTTCTTTTGTGAAAGTAATGGTACAGCCTGGTAGATCTAATGGGAGGGGTGGCTCTAAGCTCAGCAGAAGGAATAGCCAAACATGTGTAGCTGTTGACTGTCTGCTGTGTCTCCAACGGGGATTTCACCGTCGTTATCTTTTTTTTTCATTTTAGCAATATATTTTATTTATTTTTATCAATTTTATACATGTATACCTTGTATCTT